TCGGACATTAGTGTGCTTGATTGTGACAGAGGCTTATTCTGCTTTAAATACTGCAGGGGGGGTGGGGGGCAGTAATTTGACAGACAGAGGCATGTTAGTTGGTGACTTTTTTCCCTTGTCATAAGATTTCTAATGAATGGGATTTCTGTTGCTCAAAGTTCAGTTAAAGTACTTGGCAGCATATCGTTTGTGACGGTTCAGACTAGAGATCTAATCCTGCAAATATTATAGCTCTGTAATGTGACTTTGTTCACAGAGGGTGCTAGTTTTAGAAATTATATGCATTCGTATGCAAGACTTAGTAATTACAAATCTGTTGACCTTCACTTTGACAGTGTTCGGAGCAGAGGATATGGAGGGAGTGTATTTAAGATCATGTTGAGATTCTTGTAGTGAATGTATTTTAATCTTTCTTGGTCAGGCAGCTGTGTAACATTAAAGTTTCTCAATTCTAGTGCTGCATTTGAACGTGATACTGAATGTAGAAAATGTTCTAAACAATCTTGCCTAATTGTATCCATAGTATGAATGCTTTATGTGAAGTATGAAAATATCTCAAGGGAAATACAGGAAAGATTTCTTGTAGTCTCATCACTTTTATGTAGCTAAACTTCCAGGGGATGTGAAGCCTGTGATTTCTGATAATGTTGACTTTGTAGATAACATCGGAGGTGTTCTTTTTCATGCCAGGAGAAAGGCAACAACAATACTAATTATGAATATAAATTGACTTGTGAGTTTTTAGTCATGCAGTATGTCTTAAAAATGTCATGTGCAGTAAACAACTTGCAGGAATAAACACGTAAATTTAGATGGGACTTGGGATCTTTATATTTAAATATAAAATTGACATAAAGCACTTTATCTCTCATTGTATGCTAATCTTTTAGAGTAGCCAAAGCTGCAGAGATAATGGAAAACCATTTATCATTACCATGAATATAGTTACAGGAAGGAGGTATTTGTTAAGGAAAAGTAAGTGACAGAAGTAGTACATGCATTTTCTGTGAGAACTTGTTTATGACTGCATGCTGAAAGCCTGGGATACTCCAAGATAGCTGCTTTGCATATGCCTTCAGTGTTGTAACTAATACTGCAGTTGTCTCTGGGGGTGAAACACAGATTTTTCTGGCCGTTGCACCACTGTGGAGTAGGGCAACAGTTGTTCTTGCTGGGGAGTGGTCGGGGGTTGTGCCACACCGGTCTCTGTGTGTGTGTGTGTGTGTGTGTGTGTCTGGTGTGGGAGGAGGAGGGGTAGGAGAGAGCAGCGAGGTTTGCTGTAGGAGGGGGAGAGGCTAACAATTCATACAGATGCACAATAAATGACCTTGTTCAGAGAGCATGTTTCCTTGTGAGTAGGGACAAGTAGTAATTATCCTCCTTTTAGTGCTGAACTAACAAGTAATTACTGTTATTCCTTAATTAAAGTATGCAAATTGAAGATTTCTTTTTCTTTTTCTCCCCGGACTAAGTTAAATACCGTTATTCACTGCTCTCAAAAGTTCACAATATTATTTTGGTTTGTCATTGAAAAGGTTCAGTAAACAAAAGAACGCCTAACAAAAAAAGCAGTGAACCGGGCCAGATGTAGGTCAGGGCATACAAGAGTTGGTCAAAGCGTGTGCTTCTTTTGAGGGTCTGGGGGTGCCTACAATTACCAAACTGTTTGCAGCCCAAGTTTTGGTGAATGCCTCTACCTGCTGGTGCTGCTGCTGAAATTGGTGGCCTGCGGGTTAGGGGCCTTATAAATCAGTCCTGCTGGGTATAGGACAAATGAACTGGCTTTTGATAGTAAGTTTGTATCAAGGACAGAAATTTCTAAAGAGGTTACAGTGTTTGCAAAGGCACTGACTCAGTTGTGATACATAGAAAGCAACCTTTGGGGATGCTGTTTCTCCTCTCCTTTGCTGTCGTTAATTCACTTGTGAATTTTTCACCTGGCAGTCAATACAGACCTTGGGCAGCTGGCGCAAGAGTGAAGTTACTTTGTGGTAAAACTGCAGAGTAAAACTGAAAAGCCAAATCCAGAAGGATGGCACATCACACTGGCATTGAACTGGATTTAGCCTGCTGCCTTTTCTGATGGACTTGTGACTGCAGAAATAATCTAAAATACCTGTTCCTGATTTCAGCAGTGAGGGTAATGCTGCCTAGACTCAGAAGGGTTTCTGAAGATAAACCTGTGAAGCTGTGGAAGAATTACAGTTCCTGTGTTATTGGGAAGAGCTGTGAGTTTGTAACAGCTGTCAGTAGGTGAGGTGGAAATTGAGGGCTGGGCAGAGCCAGGGCTTGTCCCAATGCAGTGGGCAAAATTTTAGTAAGAACCCTCCACAGAGAAGCCAGATGACCAATTTACAGGAAAAAAGGAGTAACAACGAAGTAAAAACTAACTTTTGAGGCTAGCAGTTAGGATGAGGCTTTGAGGACAAAACTCACCAAGATTTTCAAGTAGCAAAAAGTGTGCTTGGTGCAATTTATGGAGAAACATACACCAGTGGTAATTTGTGTAGAAAAATGGGGGGACTGGAGTCAACTGTGTTGCTTACAATTAATTAGCAGTGCCTAGCAGGTGCCTGGGGTTCACCAAGGTCAGTGGGAATACAGGTGCTAAATAGCAAGCCCATTTTAACAATTATAAGTAATCCTTGTTCTTTTTTAATAAGCAATGATGTCAATAAGCAAGAAACAAAGGGGTTTTATTTTTCTAAGACACGTAAGATCTCCCAATGCTTCTGGCTACAAGTTTTTCATAACTACTTTTAACATTTATTCTGACTCCAATTTCACTGACCTGAACTGTGTTTTGTTTGGTTTTTATATTAATGAGCCTGACAATGTTTGTGAAGCAAATATTACATATTAATGCCTTTAGGTTATCTGAGAGGCAGACCACATATCAGTGAAACAGGAAGAAAAGAGCATGGAGTAATGGACTGCCACAGGAACCCTTTATTTCTCCCCCTAAACATGGCTAATCAAGTGTTTCTTTGTCATGTAATTTTAGTAAAATATCTTGGAGTAAGTTAGTGGAAGGGTATCCCTGTTATCTTATTTATCCTGTGCATTTTTCAAGGGGGTATACATCTGCACAGCAACATTGTGCTTTCTAACCAAATGTGAAAAATGATCCAAAGCTGATAACAAAAATACATTCTTATCAAAAATGCATACTTTCTTATCACAAGCAATAGGAAGGCAAACATCTTTGTCCATACCCATTTAGAAACAAGAGAACTTCACTGCATTCTTAAGTTTTAAATATTTCCCTGTTTTATTGCTTTATATTTTATTTCACAGTTTGTACTTGATGTAGTTTATTCAAGAAGGATAAGAAAATACACTTCTGTGCTGCAAAACCAGAACCTGACACAGTGAAAGGCTATAAATTCTCAGACTTCAAGGTAAAACCAGGGGTACAGAGGTGCCAAATTGGATTAAAAACCTAATGACCAATTTCTGACCCATGTAATGAGCAAATTACTCTGTGTTATATCCATGTGTTACCTTGAGGGCAATACTTCTCCTTAACAGAAAGCTAATACCATCATCACTGAAATGGCAGTAGTAATTACTCATGTACAAATAAAATTTTATACATTCAAGATAGTCCAAATAAATAAAACATTCTCCTCTGGACTTTGTGTTTTTTTGTTTGCTTTGGATTTTTTTAAAAATATTTTAAAATAAATAGTCGTATTTGATTTTGAAAAGTTAGAGAGTTGCTTTCTGCTTTGAATGAAGTTCTCTCCTCTGCCCTCCTCTGTGACCAACAGCAGCAGGAGTTGTGTCTGGGAGGTTTCTCCTTGTAATTGCATTGCAAGTCTGCCTCAGTTTAAGAAGGGCCACCTTAAAGGTTGGGCAGGTTTAATTTCCAGCTTACTGGCTTTATGGTTTCTTTACTGAAACTGCTGTCTAGAGCTGGTGTGTTTTTTGAAACATGAGATTGCTGCTGGAGTAAAATACTGTGTAGGTAGCTTCAGTATTGCTTTTCTTCCTAAATGTCATAAGTTTCCCTTTTCATAGGACAGACATTCTGAAATTCTTTCAGCTTGAGGCAAGATTTTTTGGGTGGACACTTCTTACTGAAATGAAATCTTGAAGTATTGAATTTATCTGCAGCTGCTTTTTCAGATTCTCATGATGTATCACTCACAACTTGGTCAGAGAGAGATCTGCATTGCATCATGGACAGTGTCCTGCTGGACATTTCAGCAATAGAAAGAAAGTAGAACTGAAGTGCCAACAGGAATACAGACAGCTTACTTTTTTGTTGCGCTTATTTGGAAAATAGTTTTGGGTCTGTTC